AACACCTAAACCCTAAACCCCAAAGAATGTGTCCACGACATAGAGAAGGAGAAAGGCAAAGAGAGAGAGAGAGGGGGATAGAAAGACAGAGAGAGAGAGAGAAAGAGCGACGGAGAGAGAGTGAGAGAGAGCGAGAGAACGAGAGAGAACAAGCGAGAGGGAGCTAGAGGGATAAAAAAATTGAAAACAACACAACAACTAGAAGACAAAGATGTCGGAAACCCAGAAACGTCCATGGCCCAATGGCATCGCGCAAAGCATTAAGTCCGTCTCAAAAAAATATGATGAACTGAATGCAGCACCATTCCCAGAGGCAAAGCCCCTACATCGTGAAATCCCAGACCCTGCATGCTTGTCAAGCAGCGTAGTATGCCGCATTCGGGTTGCACCACACAACGACCGGCCCACGTTTGTCGTTAGACAGATCCTCCGAAAGCAAAGTCGCTAGTGCCCGTTGGGATTTCTTAGGGTTCAGGGTTGTGGGTTTCAGGCGCGGGGCTCATCATTACCGCGATCACAACACTCAACATGACAAGGCTCTGAAACCCCAAACCCGGCAGGATGTGGAGCTATCTCTAGTACATCAACCTCCGGCCCACTTTCGGGCTGAGGATTTCGATCCCCAGGGGTTTCAGTTCAGGGCTTAAGGTTTAGGTTTTAGGGAATTTAGGGCCACAGCTTCCGCAACGTGCTTCTACCTGGGTTCCCAAGCCGTGCCAAGTCCTTCAATGGCACATCCTCCTTGCCGGCGGAGGTCGGGGTTTCCTGGCAGCACGTCAGGTTTGGCGCTTCAGGGGCTTTAGGGCTTCTGTTGTTGTTGCTTGGGGTGTGGGGGTGCGGGGCTTTGCCCCTAAACCCTAAACCCTAAACCCTATTTTGCTAAGCCTTTACAGCCGATAAAGCCCGCTCGCTGCCAGCTCTGAGCTCTACAGCGACGGAACGACGGCCTTAATACTTAGAATACGGTTTGGGGCTCCTTTGTACTACAACTAAACAGTATTGGTCACTGTTTAAACTTAATCCACTCATTTTTTGATAGCTGTTGACTACAAGCAACTCTGTAGTCTCATCGACGGCACATACAAACATAAATCAAAACGAAGCAGCGAACTTCCCCCCAAACAAAACAACATCAAACTATACTCAGAAGGAATCATTTCAAAACATCGGCGTCAATCACCAACACCACCTCCATCCAATGGCCATCGAAGGCAAAAAAAAGCACAACAACGGAAGGCCACAGCACGAATGAGAAGACCGTTCACCTGGAAATTGCAATCAAAGGCAATTTCACGCCATCCCAGATCCTAATCCGTAAACCCCGTACCCGAAACCTTGAACCCACCAGGCCTCAAGCCTATTAGGGTTTAGGGTTTAGGGTTGAGGGTTGAGGGTTTAGGGGACCCTGAACCCTGAACCCCAGACTTGCCTCAAAACTCAAAACCAAGTGTGCAACCTTTTGAGAACCTTATAGACACCCTTTTAGAAGTGCACGAGACTTCCATAGAACCCTACATCCTCTTGGAATCGTAATGATGGAGTCCCTACTTCCCCAAACAAGCCAGGGAAATAAAAGGTTAAACTTCAAGATTACGACTAAGCTATAAGAGCCCCAAAAAGCTAAAAGGTTGGGAATTGGAGAACTAAGAGTCTCTTAAAAGCCCTAAACTCTCAACCCTAAACCCTAAACCCTAAACTCTCAATCCTAAACCCTAAACCCCTAAACCCTAAACCCTAAACCCCTAAACCCCTAAACCCCTAAACCCCAAACCCCTAAACCCTAAACCCCTAAACCCTAAACCCCTACACCCTAAACCCTCCCAGAAGAATCGTCGACCTCCTCCCCGGCAGCACCCTCGGCGCCCTTCGCCGCGATGAAGACGGCGTCGAGTCGCCGGCCGCTGGCGGTGCGCACCTTGGGCGACGGTGTCTGGGTTTTGGGTTTTAGGGCTTAGGGCTTTAGGGTTTTAGGGTTTAGGGTTTAGGGTTTAGGGTTTTAGAGTTTGTGTTTAAGGGTTTAGGGTTTTAGAGTTTGTGGTTTAGGGTTTGGTCTTTAGAGCTTGGTTTTTAGTCTGTTTTATGCGCCTTTTCCCACATCCCCAGCAGAGTTTGGGGTCTAGGCTTTCGTGTTTGGTTTTTGTTTTAAAGTGCAGTGGCTCTTTTCGGGCGAAAGGTTTAGGGGTAGTTGGCGTTTGAGTCCTCAAGGTCTTCAGTCACCCCAAGCTTCCTTGGTTCAATGGTGACTTAGAGTATAAGCCTGAAGAGGTGGAAGGCCAAAGGTGTAGGCTTTCAAGGCTGTACGGATTGATTCTACCCGAAACCCTGAACCCTAAGCCCTGAACCCCGAAGCACGATGGAGCACACGACCGCTTACCCAAGCCGACAAGCCGAAATCCAGCAACCAAGATTTGGGTCGTTTTCAAAACTACGACCCCTCCGGGTACCCTAAATACTAGGTGCCGTATTATCTTAAGGACCCAGAAAGCATTTAGGTTTGCCTCAAGCTTGCCCTGAATACCTCAAAAACACTCCAAACCCTAAAAGAAAAACTTTCTAAACCCCAGCCCTAACCCCCTGACAGCCGCAACCGCAAACCCACAAACCCCAAAACTCCTAACATGACACACCCTGCAGCCTCCGCGCCCTGGCCTGGAACACCCTAAACCCTAAACCC